ACATCAACGGTGCTCAAATCAATTCCATTTTGTAACATTGACCTGAACCTCTGAGTAAGTGGAAATGGTATCTTAGCTGGAAAAAGATGTGGTTACCATGTCAGTCAGTATGGAGATTAGAAAGAATACATATTAGGACAACACAAGAAAGGATGACGTAGGTAATTCAAAGTGACAAATTCCACCAAGAAAAACATAAATAAAACAGAGCGCCAAAGATCACTGAGTTAGCTTGAAAAGAACGATAATGACAAGATCTATTGTTCAGTCAGATATACTTCATCCTTATTTAGTTGAAAATATATATGCGATGACAGAAAGAAATAAGGAAATAAGGAAAAAAACAGACCTGCCACAAATCCAGAGAAGAAAAAGTTAACCCATGCATATGTCAACGTCTGTCCAACAAAAGATAAAACACATTAAGAATGCCATTTCTTTCAGTGATGTTGGCAACATCAAGCCATGAGTAGGGCTGTCAATAGATTTGATTTTGATCTGAATCCAACGAAATTAATGGGAGATGGATTTATGGTCTCAATCCGATAACCCGATCAATATCTGAATACAATAATCCGTTAACTAAATGAATCAAATATTGATATAAGTCAATCCGATCCGATAACAATTCGATCCGATTTGTTATAAATAATTGAGTCGGTAAAATATTTTTATGTCATATTATTTGTCACTAAAATAAATAAAAGAGAATAAATAAATTTAGAATAAAAAAGTAATCAAATTCAAAATATAAAAAAGTCGATAAATTTATAATTATTAAACATGTTTAAGAATTGAAAATTTTGAAAAAAAAATTGATTTCAACCAATATTTTAAAAATCGACCCAGACATCGACCATGAAAAAGAAGATGGTCAAGGTCAAAAATTCGAATCGGTATCGAACCGGTTGTCAAATTGAATAAATAACTATACACATAAATGTAAAATATTATAAAAACAATAGATTTTCTTTAATTTTAGTTTACTAATTTAAAGTAAATAAATATCTATATTTTTCTTAATTAAATTTATTATTTTAATTTATTTTATAACTTCAAAAACTAATAATTAATATGTAACAAATAATTTGATTTGTTAATAGAAATAATGAAATAAAATATTTATATTTAGAATTGAAATTCAATTTTATCTTATCCCACATCGAATGTCGATAGAAAACTAGAAGAGGATCTCTCATTTAAAAAGGAACATCATGATGGTAGAAGTCACTATTGGGCTTGCTAGTAAAAAAATGTGGGCCTCAAGTTAGTTCAAATTTTTTTAATAAACATTGATTTTTTTCTTAATTTTTATTAATTTCGGATCGGATATCCGATAACATAGCAAATCGGATCTGGATTTAATAATCAAATATCCGTTGGATTATTGGATCGGATAATTTTTTATCGGATCGAATATAGGCAGATCCGATCCATTTACAGCCCTAGTCATGAGGAATGCAACACAAGTACCTGTGGTATGATCATTGAAAGATTCTTTTTCATCATATCCATAGCCATATTTGGATCAGAGAACATCTGTGCCTGCGGATTTTGGGCTTGGCCCTTGGGCACATAAAGTAATCCATTCTCCTGCAATGTCACATAAAAAGTTTCCCCCATAAACTATTGCACTAATTCTAGATAAATCTTTGATCTCCGACAATTAAAATTTTGAAAACACGAGTGTTTAATGGTCCAAATCCATCGAAACCGTTCTCGAGTTTAAACACTATAGATGTTCATGGATATTACAATTAACATCCAAACACTTAAATTAATAGTCAAGAGGAAATTACGCACCGGGTTTCTCTTTGCCTGAAATCAGACTTTATGAACAACAGTAAAAAATTGAAATGTTGAAATGTTATTTCTAAATTCCAAATTGAGTCACCATCTAAGAAACACGAACATGGACACGTGATACAATATGACATGACAAGGACATGACTTTTCTATATAGTAGGACACAAACATGTGGCCCTAGTAGGAGTGTATGTGCTTCATAGGTCACCATATTCTAAGTCTAAGCACCAGATAGTATCTAGAATCTATTTTCTTAGCATCATATGATTGGGAGTGACCATATTGATCATAAAACTGCTGAAAGAAGATTGAAGTCAGAAGTCATAAACCAAACATTAGTTCCTACTTCCAAACACAACGGAAATTTACAATATGCAGTTAAATCAGTTTAACAGCATTTGCCATTTTATCTAATTTCTTGAATCTTGCCAGTTTGTTCTCTTGTGTCAAACTACTAAAACATATTATCTCCAACATTAATCACTATAATGTCATGCGTAAGAAATATGCTTGTCATCCAGTAAAGTATTAATTGCGAAACAATAGGGATGCGAGGAGGGAATGAAGTGACAAAGGAATATTCAGGTAGGCAACCCAAATCTGTTAGGACTAAGGTATAGTTTGTTGTTGTAATTCAGCTAGGCCTAATTTCAAAAAGCCATTTTTATCACTATACAGTCCATACACTCTCTTATTTCCCATTTATTCAAATTATCCTAGTGTTTGCCTTAAATTTCTTACTCATTCCAGTTTAAGGGTAATCTTACACAATCTAATGTCTGTAGAACCAGGTCGGGGTTTGTCATTGACATAATTTTCCAGTTTGGATGTCACCTAAATCAGTATTCTGTTCTTCAGTTTCTTAGTTGATTGTGGCACAATCCAATAGAGGCCTTTATTTCTTACCCTCTTATTATATATCCCAACCAGGCAATCACCAACATTTAATACAGCACTTCATCTATCAGAGGTAATTATATTATATCCCTATTTTTCCATCTGTAATTATTTGTTTAGGTACACATCTATCAAAATTTTAAGATCTTTAATCAGAATTCACTACAAAGATTATTATACAATAGATATTAGAAGAAGGAAAGAAAAACATTTCATACCTCGTTGTTGAAATAAACCCTTCGAGCACGAAATGATTTAGCGGGTATATAATTCGCCGCCGCCCTCAAATTCCTTGCCCTAATTATCACTTGCCTAACAAAAGGAAAAAAAAACAAGTGAAATACAAATTAACTTACACAAACCAATAGTTAACAAACAATTATACCCTTCTTTGACCATTTTGGGATCGGGAACTTGATTGGAGGAGCGCATGAGCTTGGATACGAAATAACGGAGGATTCCTATGAGCACCATAACCACCGATAATGGTATCAACACCCAGTCTCTGATCGCCGTGTCCAATACCAAATCTTCCGCCATTTTTTGTATTGAATTATGCTATGATCCGATGGGAAAACAGCTGCTTCTATCTTCTTGTGCAGATCAGTTTGAGATTACGATTATTAGATGAATATTCAAAAGAATTTAGGGCCTTCGGGCAGCCGTTAACAGACGGCGTCACGATAACTCCATTTTTCAACCCAAAGATGGCCCAATAACATAGATGAAGGCCCAAGACAAAATGGGCCATTGACGCCACAAACTATTATTTAAAATAAAATATTCAGTTTTTACTAAATTTATTTCTGCAAATACTGAAATATAGTAATATAACTGATTATTTACAAATGACCAAACTTCTTAATCAATTTCAATTGTGGATTTAAAGCTACATTTTCATTCTTCTATTACCATAAGCCATGGAAGTAAGAGTCGCAATGGTTGGTAAACTTGAGGTGACGTGGGNGGTGACGTGGGGAGAAATCCTCCGGCTTCGGAGGTTCGATTCCCCACTCTGTGGGTTCGTGTCCTGTTGGCTCTCTCCCTCAAGCCTCTGTCAAAGCGTGCTTATCCCTCGATTTACATCCCACCTAGCTGAGGGGCCTACGGCACAGGTGGGGGGGGTTCGCCTTCGGGACTTCCTCCTCATCAAAAGAGTCGCAATGGTTGTAAGAGCATTTTGATCATAATCGAGATATAAGTCAACAAAATTCTTTATTTTCCCAATAATTATATATTATTTTCTCATCATTTTTCAATTAGTATATCTTTTTAGATGTCAATAGGTAATATATTCAATATAATATGAATAGTTCAAATGGTGGAATATTGAAATTTTCAATTTTAGTAAATATAATAATAAAATACAAATAGAGTCCATATTAGGTAGGAAGTTATTACAGTTGGAAGAATTTCTAACTAAAGTCATAATACGCC